TGCAAAAATACTCAACAAAATATTGGCAAACCGAATCCAAGAATACATCAAAACAATTATCCATCACAACCAAGTAGGATTCATCCCAGGGATGCAAGGATGGCTCAACATACAAAAATCAGTCAATGTAATACACCATATAAACAAACTGAAAGAAAAAAAACACTGGGGGTAAGGAGAGGAGGTGGGAGGGGGGAGAATAGGGGAACCCGTGGCTGATATGTAGAACTGAATGGTATTGTAAACTAAAATTAAAAAAAAAAAGGAAAATGTTTACATTTTCAGAAGTTTAGTCCATTATCATCATGGTGTGACTTGGTGGCATGCAGGCAGACATGGTGCTGGAGAAGTAGCTGAGAGTCCTACATTTTGACTTGCAGGCAAGGAGAAGCAGTCTGAATACTGGGTGTGGCTTGAGTATATATGAGACCTCAAAGCACATCTCCTACAGTGACACACTTCCTCCAACAAGGCCACATCCACTCCAACAAAGCCATACCTCCTAATAGTGCCAGTCCCTGTGAGCTTATGGGAGCCAATTATATTCAAACAATGACAGAAGATGACACAAAATTGGGTGGTTAGATGGAGGGGTGGATCTGAGAAGAGCTGGAGGTGAACATGATCAAAACAAGTTGCACAAAATTCTCAAAGAACTAATAAAACATTCTTTACTACGTGGCCTGTTCTTTAGTTTAGATGATGAAGGAAAACAAACCAGTTTGTCATGGTGAACTTACACAGTACCTCGGAAGGCTTCCTCAGCCGGGAAGATTGACTTACATGGCGCTTTCCTCACTGCAGTTTGAGTTGCCGGTGTCCACTGTTGTGTTTGGACCAGGTGCTTCATCTGTGAGGTCCAGCCAGGTCTGATTCTTAAATTTCACTGTGATTCTCTTGGTCCAGAAGAGGATGCAGGGAATGCCATCCCTGGAGAACTTAACAGGATTATGATGACTGTAGACGCTCCAATGGCTTTTGCTCAGATTGTCATTGAAAGTCTAATTAACCAAGTAAAAGAAATGTAACAGATACATGTGCATCCTTGGAATCAGAGACTTCCTACAGATAAAAAGGTTAATTCGTATCCTGTAATCATGTATACATGTCATTATTTATTTACTTAAAGAACAACACAAAGAATGGACCAATTATTCCAGTGTAATTGCAAATGAAAGAAAAACTGGTCGAGAGACAGTAGCAAGTAATAAAAGATACCCTTGCTGGGGGTAAGGAGAGGGGGTGGGAGGGGGGAGAATAGGGGGTGGTTCCTGTGGGAAAACCACAAAATGGAATACTGTGATGAAAAATGTAAAATTAAGAACTGTATGTTGTTCTCAACTTCCCAGAGTTCAAGTAAGATTATGTTAAAAATTAACGTAACTGTTGTGTATATATTCACTGTAGCTCTGAAAGCATTGAAAAGTGAGCATGTTATTGTTAAAGTTTAAGGTCCCAACAGCCATACCTGTGTGATGGGTGTTGTTGTAAAATTCTGGACTGGTTTCACCTCTCCGCTGTGCTTTTGATCTGTCAAATAAATAATGATGTGAGTACCAAGGCTTGATGCTATCAGTTTGTTAACCTAGTTGAATGATGCTGATGAGCTAATCACTGGTATATATCCTGTTTGGGCTTAGCATTTGAAACGCCCTAGTTGGAACGATTTTTCCAGGAGAGATTCTAGTACAAACAGCACCAGTGAGGTTAACATACCCCCGAAAAGGCCTTTCTTTATCCCTGCCCCCAGGGAAATACAAGGGCAATTCCAAGTCTTACCACTCCGTATAATCACTCCTTTACTTGAAGAGGCTTGCGAACTGAAATTAGAAATAGAGTTTTAAATGCAGAACGAACAGCTATAGAGGAGGCTTCCCAGAAGCTTTGAGAGGCTGTCTCAGCTGTGTGCATATCACTCGGGAGCATGCTGTCGCCACTCAGAATACGACATTTTTTAAGTGAGAAATTTCTTTTTTTTTTTAACTCTTAAGATTGATTGATCTATTTATTTATTTATTTATTATGTATGCAGTGTTCCGCCTGAATGTATGCCTGCAGGCCAGAAGAGGGCACCAGATCTCATTACAGATGGTTGTGAGCCACCATGTGGTTACTGGGAATTGAATTCAGGACCTCTGGAAGAGCAGCCAGTGCTCTTAACTGCTGAGCCATTTCTCCAGCCCAAGTGATGAATTTCTGATTTAAATATAACACACCCTCTCCAAACAAAATATAGAAAACACAGAAATTCCTGAAATTTTTCTCTTTTTATGAATCAGTTCTGATCCTTGCTGAATGTTATAGCGACTCAACTTGCATGCCAAGCAGTAAGCTAGCCACCAAGCTTTAACCAATGACAAAAACATAATAACATGTAATAAATTATTTTACAGTGAAATTTTATATCACACTGTGTCACTATATTATAGACAAAATATTCAATATTTGTTATTTTTTAAAAAAGGATAAATTCAGCCAGGCAGTGGTGGTGCACGCCTTTAATCCCAGCACTCTGGAGGCAGAATCATGAAATCTCTGTGAGGTCAAGGCCAGCCTGGTCTACATAGCGAGTTCCAGGATAGCCAGAACCACGCAGTCTCAAGAGACAATCAAGCAAACAAACAAAAGACAGATTCAATGGCCAAAAAGGGAATTCTGAAAACTATGAAAATAGAAATTACGATCTATAGCCTTCTACTCTTTAGCTACACTCATATAAACAAACATATACCACATAATTTTCTTTTTATAAAACTTAAAAATATATTGAGAGTATATTGTTTTTCAGCCTGCAATTTTTGGACTTCAGTGTGTTTCACAAACATTTACCCATGTTGTCATTTTTTGGACGCAATTTTGAGTTTCTTACAGTATTAACATCATGAAAACGTATCGTGGTGTCTTCAGCCATGTTCCTAGTCTCACATATTTATGTTTTAGTTTAAATGTCCTCCAAAGGGCCAGAAGTGATGGTGCATGCCTTTGATCCCAGCACTCAGGAGGCAGAGGCAGCAGGATCTCAGTTCAAGGCCAGCCTGGTCTACAGAGCAAGTTCCAGGACAGCCAGGGCTACATAGAGAGACCCTGTTTCAAAAGAAGAAAAAGAAAAAAGAAAAACGTATAAGACTTCTAGCAGTGAGAGCCGGGGATGTCCCTGACTCTGTTGCCTGATTTGAGGACTCATTCCTCCTGCCTGAGAGCCTCATCCAGCGTTGGTGGAGAAGAGGGTGCCTGGTCTCACTTCAGCTTGATATACCGTGGCTCACTGATATCCATGGGATGCCCACCTATATCTGAAGAGAAACAGTGGAGGAGGAGTGGATGAAGTTGGGGGTGAGGGGTAAGGGTGCTGGGAAGAGGGGAGGGAGGGGAAGCTTTGGTTAATATGTTTTTAAAAAGCCCTCCAAAGGCTCACTGTGACTGTAGATTGGGCAGACAGTTGGTGGCAGGCGGGGTATGGGAATGTCCTTAGGTCTCTGAGAGTGTGTGGTGGTTCTTCCACAGCCTAGTGATGGTTCTCCTACAACCCTCAGTAGTTCTTGTGAGAACATTGTAATAAAGAGAGCAACAGTGATCCCTCTTGTTCTCTATTTCCTTGCTCAAGGTATGACTTACTCCTTGTTCTGGAGACTCACTCCATCTCACCATCTGCCATCAGCCGTGGACCCTCACCAAAACTGACCAACTCAGATCCATGCCTTTCAATTTCCAAAACTATAAGATAAATAAGCCTCTTTACTAGAAGATAAAGAAGGCTATTTTTGGTTTCAATATAGTATATGTAATGAAAAGCTCACTAATAACAATTGTTCCCAGGGCTCCGACATTGTAGGATAGTGGTTCTCAAAGTGTGGGTCTCAACCTCTTTGGGCATCGCATATCAGATATCCTGCATATCAGATATTTACATTATAATTCATAACAGTAGCGAAATTACAGTTATGAAATAACAATGAAAATAATTGGATGGTTGGGGGTTACCAGGACATGAGGAACTGTATTAAAGTGTCACAGCATTAAGGAGGTTGAGAACTCTGTTCTCAGATATTACAGTGGATTGTTCTTTAATAGCAATTCCTAAAGTAAAATTGTTAAGTAGGGAGGTAGAGAACTGTTTTGTCATGTATTCCAAGTGCAAAAACATGCAAACCAGGGGATTGGAAAGAGGCTCAGTGGTTGAGACTTTGTATTACTCTTCCAGAAGACCCAAGTTCTATTCCTAGAACCCATGTCAAGTGGCCAACAAATGCCTAGAACCCTAACTCCAGAGGAATCTGACAACTCTGGCCTCCTTGGGTACTAACACATAGGTGGTGTGCACTCACACACACATACACATACACATAATTTAAGATAAAATAAATCTTTTTTTTTTTTTTATTTTTCAAGACAGGATTTCTCCATGTAGCCTTGGCCATCCTGGAACTCCCTCTGTAGACCAGGTTGATCTTAAATGCACAGAGCACCTGCCTCTGCCTCCAAGTGCTGGGATTAAAGGTGTGTGCCACCACTGCACAGCAATAAATCTTTCTTTTAATGTCAGCCAAAACACAAAATCTTCCCCATGATTCCCAACCCACCTTCCAGCCGTAGTAATCAAGTCACAGCCAATCTTAGTTCACATATAATTAAATAGAACTGATTACAAATTACAAATACATTATTCTACATTATCTAGTAAAAATTTCTACAGATGACAAATTTGGGGAAATGCCGACTAGCTGCTCCTTACACAAGTATGCAACAATTGGTTCATTTTGATCAACTATACTCAAGTGTAACTTTAGTACAGGAAACTGTCCATGTAATCTAATCAATCCTGTATGTTTTGGCACAGACGCATAGCCATGGTGCTACAGCTACAATAGAGTAAAAGAATATTAGTGGTACTCACCAAAAGTTCTCCAAGGATTTCTACAGTTCCCTTCACCTTCAGCCCTCCACCCTTCATCCCAAGCAAGTACAAACTCGTTTTGCATGAGTTTGCATTTTATACAATTGTAAATTAACAGTCATAACATTTATCTTTTAGTATTTGGTTTCTTAATCTTTTTTTTTTTTTTTTTTTTTTTTTTTTTTTTTTTTTTTTTTTTTTTTTTTTTGTTTTTTGAGACAGGGTTTCTCTGTGTAGCTTTGCACCTTTCCTGGAACTCGCTTTGGAGACCAGGCTGGCCTCGAACTCACAGAGATCCGCCTGGCTCTGCCTCCCGAGTGCTGGGATTAAAGACGTGTGCCACCACCGCCCGGCCTGTTTTCTTAATCTTAATACAACAGCTTTGGAATTTGTGTATGCTGCTACATGTATCAGTGCTTAATTCTAATCCATTGCTAAGAAATACCTCACTGTATAGATATAATACATTTTTTATTTGTCTATGCACATATTGACAATTTCAGGCATGTATAAACTTGAATTTTGTAGCTTGGGACTTTATAAACAAAGATTTAAGACTTTCATGTATACTAGTTAGTGTGGAATGTGGTTTTTTTGTTTGTTTGTTTTTTTCTTTTTGTTTTTCCAGTTCTGTGGAATGAACTCTGGCTTCTTTTGTACCAGGCGTGTGCTCTCCCGCTTAGCCACACATACACACAGCCTAGGAGACATTGCTGTTTATTTTAAGACGTCCCTTGTGACCGAGGTTGGTATGAATCAGTCCTCTGAGGCCAATCTCCTCCTGGTGCACTTGGGAGCACTGAGACATTTAATTTCCTGAACAATGAAAGTAATGTATATCTTATGCATACATCTCTACCTACCTAACTCCAAATTCTCCCATGTGAGTTGAAATATCACTGAAAATATGATAGAAGAACGAACAAGTAGAAAACACTCCCTGGAGACACAAAGCTTTCTCATACCCATGAACAGAATTTTAAATTTTTATTTAGTTTGAATGGTATTCAAAAGCCATATATCATAACACCAACTTATACATCCAATTTTTAAGTGTCTTCATTAACAAAAACATAAAAAATGGTGAAGTATAGTTTACATAGGAAAGATAAAAGTATCATATCAATTGAGAATGTTTAGCTAATAGAAGATAATTCTAGATATTTATTGAGTAAAAGTATATTAATGAATAAATAAATAAACTGTAATACTGTTAAACTGCTTGGTTTGAGGCTTTATCTATTAATTAAATTTTCTCATGTGTTCATTAATGAAGGACTTAGAGTAAACAAAGAAGTCCACTGTCACTTCAATGCATCTCTGGTCTAACCATACAATAGCGTCATTCTTTTTTAAAACACTGCAATGCAGACAGGCTTTGCATACAACCCTAAGCCTGACTAAAGTAAGATCTTACTGGAAACTTAATTTCAACCGGAACAAAATATGCATCACTACATACTACCTGAATGACAGGAAAAACTGACAACCATCCACAATTGTCTGCGTGGATAGGCTGAGAAACACTGATGTAAGAAAATTAAACCTTGCTTGGCCTGGCAGCCCAGGCCTGCAATGCCTCAGGAGTCAGGGGCAGAAGGGTCAAAAGTTCATGATCTCCTGAGTCTATATAGGGTGTTCAAAACCAGTTTGGGCAACTTAGTGAGACTCTTTCACAAAATTACTGTATTTTTAAATGGCTAGATATCCTAATGAAACCTATATCAATGTATAATTGATATAATCTAACAAAAATATTTTAAGTGGCTATGGGCCTGCGGAGATAACTCATTTGGTAAGCACACAGAATTCCATGCTTAGAATCCATGGAACACAGTGTCATACACTTGTAATCTTGGCACTTGGTAGGCAGAAACAAGAGGGTCCCTGGGACTCAGTGGCTAACCAGCCCAGCTGAATCAGCAAGTTCCAGAACTCTGAAGAGACCCTGTCTCAAAAACACAAGGTAGAAACAGAGGCAGACCTCTGTGAGTCCAAAATCAGACAGACCATCATAGGAAGTTCCAGGCCAGGCAGGGCTGTACAAGGGCCCTGTCTCAAACAAACAGAAGAGTAAATCCAATCTAGAATTCCAAAAAGAAGGAATTGTGACTTTCAACTCTATTTTTTTAAACAGGATTTTTGTCCTTTTGTATATGTGTGTGTGTTTACATACATGCATGAGATGTATGTGTGTGTGTGTTTACATACATGCATGAGATGTATATGTGTGTTTATATGAGTGTGTACAGAGGCCAGAGGAGAATGCTGGGTATCTTCTCTTTGTCTTCCCTCTTGCCTACTCCCTGGAGACAGGTTCTCTCACTGAACCCGCAGCTCCCTGCTTTTCAGTAGTCTCCCTTTCTCTGCTCACAGCGGGGCTGGGGTGACGGGTGTCCATGGCCAAGTCTGGCTTTTCTACCTAGGTGCTGAGGTCCGGACTCAGGTCTTGACTGCTGCAGGCACGCTCTTAGCGGCTGAGCCACATGAAGCCCAGCACTCCACACTCTTCTCTTTAAACTTAGGAAGTGTGCGTCATACCAACACTGCCGCCATCTCTCTTAGGAATAGCCCTACAGTGTTAAGAGATGTTTTTAACTGCAGATCCACGATTTGAAAGAGCATTTACAAAATAGGAGTTGTTGGTTCCTCCATGGTGACTGAGCATGCGTTATTAGATTAGGATGGTCATCTATGTGACTTAACTTGTTTTTGTAATTTTTAATTATCATATAAAATGCTGGGTTTCATTCTTGGGTTTTCAGACATAATTTGCTGTCATTGACACCCCTTTGCTCTCTGTACCCCCTGTCCTCTTCCTTCCCCAACAGCCCCCTTCTACTGTAAGGACACTGGTATTCAATTACCTCATTTTTTCACCCTTCCCAGCCCTCCCGTAAGACCTCTTTTTTCCCTTTTCATGCTCCCTTTTCTAGCTTCCTGACCTACACTTGTCCTTCCTTCCACACATATATAAAAATCAAAATCTAGGATCTGCCTAAGAGAACACTCATTTCTGTTTCTTCTACGTCAGGGATGCTTCACCTAATATTTCAGTTCTACCCATTTTCTTGCAAATGTAATGATTATTTTTTTTCTTTGGGTCTAAATAAAATCGTATTCTGTATATATATCACATTTCCTTGTTCATTCGCTTGTTAGTAACATCTAGGTTTTGTAGCTATTGTAAAGAACACAGCTGTTTGTGTAATTTCTAAGATCTACGCTAATCAAGGCAGAATTTGAATTTTTTAATTTTCAAGACTATTTTTGCCAATGTAATACAAAAGCCACTCATTTCCATATAAACTTGGTGGAGAAATATTATGTCTTATAGGCTGGGATATAGCTCGGTGGTAGAGCACTTGCTTAGCATTCATGAGGCCCTAAATGTAACCACTGCCTAGCACAGAAGCACAGGATTCCACATTATTACAAAGCCAGGCACGGCAGTGAATGCCTGTTATCCCAGAACTTGGAATGTAAACTAGGAGGATCAGTTCAAGACCATCACTGACTATATAGATAAATTCAAGGACAGTGTGGGCTACAGGGGACCTGTCCCAAACAAAGCGTGATATGACATTTAACCACATGAGACATTTAAGCCACATACTGTTTCAAAATAAGCTTGAAAGAAAGCACTGATTGACTTAGGGGAGAAAAGAAGAAAACATCGCGAGTATCTGTTCTTAAAGCTGTTATCAGCTGCTGACTACGGAGTTCTTCAAGATGCTTTGCAAGCTCACCCTGGTTGCTGCTGTGCTGTGTTCACACGAATTTCCCTGATGCCTTTGGTGAGATGGCACATCGTGAGTAATTGGGAAACAAGACATTCAGTAGCTGCAGTGGAGATTCTAAACACTTTTTAAGAGCTAAGTCTGTGTACTTCTTTGTAAGGTACGGAAAGAAAACAGACAAAGGAACAAAAATGAGGCTTGTTAATTATAAATTCCGCGTCATAAACAATCACTACCTTTAACCCAGTCAACGTGACCTAACATCTTTCCTCTGGGATCACGAGTTATACATTCCTAAGGTCTCCACTCACGTAATTATGACAGGAGAAGCTGTGAACTTAGCCCTTATTTACAAATGCAAAAGGAACCAGAGCCAGGGCTGATCTGCGAGTCAGTTAAGGAGTGGTATATTTAATACAAATGCAGTGTTTCTTAGTGTTTTGAACAATAAATCCTTGCCTCTCACCGTAAACGTATAATATAATAAATATTGTAGTAGCTGTATGCTCTAACCTAGCTTATACATTTTTGAACCATAAACAGATGCAGATATGTAACTACATAAAGAAATGCCAAAAACATCTAATTTCACACTTGCACTGAGGTTCACAAACACATTGCATTAAAGGATGGGCGGTTACTCACCCTACATTCTTCCAGGCAAGTATCTGGTCCAAAGTGGCTGAAAACACCATACATAAAAACAGAAGTGAAAAACTGAACAAGAATTTTC